TCTTTCCTCGCACTTGCCGAAGGCGATATGGCGGCCATACTCGCATTCTCGCGCCGGGCAGCCCGCGCCGTGCGCCCGACGCGCGCACTCAGCGCCGTGCCGAGCGTCGACGAGAACATCGACCACCTGAAGAGCGAGGGCGACATCAACCTGTCCGACAGGCGGGCCCAGTTCACGGCGGCGCACATCGGCGACGAGACGGCAAAGCTCCTCGAGGAGGACGCGACCTACTTCACGGCATCCACGTCGAGGACCTCGAGGGCCGGAAATACATGGACTTCCACGGCAACTCCGTGCACCAGGTCGGCTTCGGCAACCCGAAGGTCACGCAGGCCATCAAGGACCAGCTCGACGAGCTGCCCTTCTGCACGCGGCGCTACACGAACAAGACGGCCGTCAAGCTCGCGAAGACGCTGACGGAGAAGGCGCCGGACCCCCTGAGCCGCGTGCTCTTCGCGCCGGGCGGCACGTCCGCGATCGGCATGGCGCTGAAGCTCGCGCGCTACGCGACGGGCCGCCACAAGACGCTGTCCATGTGGGACTCGTTCCACGGCGCGTCCCTGGACTGCATCTCCGTCGGCGGCGAGCAGGTCTTCCGCGGGAACGTGGGGCCGCTCATGCCCGGCGCGCAGCACGTCCCCCCTCCCGACGAGTACCGCTGCGAGGAGAGCGGCTTCCCGGACGCCATGGCCTCGGCGAAGTACATCGACTACATCCTGGAGAAGGAGGGCGACATCGCCTGCGTCGTCGCCGAGCCCGTGCGCTGGACGCCCTACGTGCCGCCGCCGGGCTACTGGCGGGCCGTGCGCGCGTCGTGCGACAAGCACGGCGCGCTCCTCATCTTCGACGAGATCCCCAACTCGCTGGGCCGCACGGGCACGTTCTTCACCTTCGAGAAGTTCGGCGTCGTGCCGGACATGGTCGTCGTCGGCAAGGGCCTCGGCGGCGGCGTCATGCCCATCGCGGCGCTCATCGCGGCGGAGAAGCTGAACGAGAGCTGCCGGCGCGTCGCGCTAGGGCACTACACGCACGAGAAGTCGCCCGTCGCCTGCGCGGCGGCCCAGGCGACCATCGACTTCATCGACGACGAGGACCTCATGGCCAACGCCGAGGCGCTCGGCGCGTACTCCCTGGAGCGGATGCGCGCGCTGATGGGCAAGCACGAGCTGATCGGCGACGTCCGCGGCATCGGGCTCCTGCTGGGCATCGAGCTCGTCACGGACCGGGCGACCAA